CTCCATCCACCATTGCCAAAATTTCCCACTTCCCCACCTTAGCTCTCACCCCTACAGGAAATGCCCAAGTAGGGGTGATGCCGCTAGGTTCAAGTTCCCTTCTCATTGTAGGAACTTAGGCAAGTAAAGGGGGACTTAGGCCAATTTTCTGATAACCTTGATAGATATATAGAAGCCTTTCAAATACCTTTAGCTCAGGTATTTGACCTCTCATAACGGATGTTATGCTGCTCCTAAGCCAAACCCTAACCACAGCTGAGAAGCAGCCAGCAGAGAAATTCAGAGATGATAAGTATGTCTCCTATAGTAGACCTAAAAGGAAAAGAGAAAATAGGGAAGGCAAAGAGATGAAGGAAGCACCATTCCCAATATGAAGGAAAGTAGTTCCTCTTTACAACCCTAGTTGGAACCCCAATAATGCTGCAGATGAATGGAAAAGGAAACATTTTTAATGTGCATATTTGGAGAGCCTATGAAGAATGAAGAAATTAGGCCAAGCCTCTTAATTACTCTAAACTGTCAATGATAGAACAAAAGCCAGCTGAGAATTCTGCAGCCTTTATGGGAAGACTAAGAGAGGCACTAATAAAGCATGCCTCCCTATCCTGAGTCAGTGGAGGGACAGCTCATCCTAAAGGACAATTTATTACACAGGCAGCTCCCAATATTAGAAGAAAACTACAGAATCAGACTATAGGACCAAATGGCACCTTAGAGAACCTCCTGAAGGAGGCCACCTCAGTCTTTTATAATATATACCAGGAGGAGGACCAGGAGAAAGAGAGGAAGCGAAAGAGAAGGACATAGACCCTAGTAGCTTCTCTGCAGTCTTGAAAAGTCCAAGATCCCTGAGATGCATTTAGTAGTTGCTATCGGTGCGGCAAATCAGGGCACTTTAAGAAGGGAGTGCCCAGGAAGCAAGAAGAAACCAACACGACCCTGTCCAGCATGTGGCAGGGATCACTGGAAATCGGACCCTGGACATGAAGGTGATTGGGTTCAGAACGAGCCTCACAGATGATATAACAGGACTAGTGGGTTCTGGTGTTCAAAACGCTGGCTCCAGCAGCTCAAACTACCATTACAGCACAGGAGCTCCAGGTGATTTTGGAAATTGAAGGAAGAAAGGTAGATCTTCTGGACCTTGGGGCCAGCCTCTCTCTTCTCCTCTCTAATTCAGGCCTCCCCCTTTCCCATAGCATGACCGTGAGGGTCATGTCAGGAAAAAACTCTAATTTGATATTTTCCTCAACCGCTTAGTTGCAGATGGGGAAAGCTACTATTTACATATGCCTTTTTAGTCATGCCAGAAACTTCCACTCCTTTATTAGGTAGAGACAGTTTAGCTCACATGGGGGCCAGCATTCTTATAGCCCCAGGACAATCTCTTTGTCTTCCCCTGGTGGAAGCTAATATCAATCCAGAAGTGTGGGCAACTCAAGGAAGAAAAGGTCGAGCTGTAACCACTAGGCTAGTCCAGATCCATCTTAAGGATTCCACCATTTTTCCTAACCAGAAACAACACCCCCTAAAGCAAGATGCTAGGAAAGGGCTAGAAGCTATTATTAATAACTGAAGATGCAGGGCCTCCTCAAACCCTGTAACAGCCCCTGCAACTTCCAATATTAAGAGTGTAAAACCCAATGGGGAATGGAGACTTTTCAGGACCTCCACCTCATTAATGAGGTCATAATCCCAATCTATCTGGTAGTACCTAATCCCTATACCTTGCTGAACCTATACCTTGCTGACCCAAATACCTGAGGGAACAAAATGGTTTACAGTCCTAGATTTAAAAGATACTTTCTTCTGTATACTGTTATATCCTGACTCTCAATATCTATTTGCCTTTGCCAATCTCTCTGGACAAATCACCCAGTTAACGTGGATGGTGCTGCCTCGGAGATTTTGAGATAACCCTCATTTCTTTGGACAGACATTGTAAAAAGAACTCTCCAAGTTTTCCCATCTTCAGGTGAAGGTTTTGCAACATGTGGATGATATACTGCTCTGTACCCCAACTGAGGCAGCTTCTCAGGAAGGCACTGAAGCTCTTCTTAATTTCTTAGCCAACAGAGGCTATAAACTTTCAAAATCTAAGACCCAGCTTTGCAAAACCTCAGTCAAGTATCTGGATTTAGTGCTGTCTGAAGGGACCAGAGCATTATGGGAAGAAAGGATTAGCCCATTTTCTCCTTCCCACTCCACAAAAGCCTTAAGCAACTAAGAATTTGGGGGCATTTCAGGATTTTGCAGGCTATGGAAACCTAGGTATAGTGAGATAGCTCATCCTCTGTATCACCTCATAAGAGAAACTCAAGCAGCTAAAACTCATATCCTAGCCTGGGAACCTGAAGCTCAAAAGGCCTTTAAGCAGCTAAAGCAGGCCCTACTTAAGGCAACAGCTCTCAGCCTTCCCATAGGAAGAGCCTTCAATCTGTATGTATCAGAAAGGAAGGGAATGGCCCTGGGAGTTTTAATGCAGGCCCAAGGACCGGCTCAACAGCCAGTGGGTTGAGTAAGGAACTTAATTTGGTGGCTAAACTATGATCAGCATGCCTCTGAGCCATTGCTGCAGTGCCTTAATGGTTCCAGAAGCCTCCAAATTAACCCTGGGAAATGACTTAACTGTTTGTACCCCACATAATGTGGCAGAATTACAGTCCTCTAAGGGAAGCCTTTGGTTAACAGACAGCAGGCTCCTTAAGAGTAGAGTATCAAGCTCTACTCTTAGAGGGTTCCACCATCCAGTTAAAAACTTGTTCTCTCTTAAACTCACCCACTTTTCTCCCTGAGGGAACTGGTGAACCTGAACATGACTGTGAACAAGTTGTGGTACAGACCTAAGCAGCCAGGGAAGATCTCAGGGAACCTTTCTAAAAAATCCAGATTGGACCCTCTTCACAGATGAAAGCTCCTTTGTAGAGCAAGGAGTCTAAAGGCAGGATATGCGGTAGTCACTCTGAATAATTGTATTGAAAGTGCGTCTGTCTCTCCAGGCACAGGCACTCAACTAGCTCAACTGGAAGCTCTTACAAGAGTAGTTGAGTTAAGCAAGGGAAAGGTAGCTAACATTTACAATGATGCCAAGTATACTTTCTTGGTTCTCCATGCTCGTGCTGCCATTTGGAAGGAAAGGCACTTTCCTACCACCAATGGATCTGCTATAAAATACCCTCAGGAATTTAACAGGTTATTACCCTCAGTTTTCCTTCCATGAGAGGTAGCAGTGATGCATTGTAAGGGACATCAGAAGGGAGTAGATTCAAAAATAGCTGAAGGAAGCAAGCTAGCTGATTAGGTGGCCAAGTCAGCAACAAGGAAGCCTCATGATACCAACACATTTGAAGCACCTCTAATTGGGGAAGGCTTCATAAGAGAAATCAAACCTCAGTACTCCCCTGCAGAAATAGAATGGGCCACTTCTCAAGGGTACACTTTTCAGCCCTCAGGATGGCTGTAGTCAGAACATGGCAAGCTTCACTTGCCAGCATCCGCCAGTGGAAAGTCCTTAAATTCTTTCATCAAGCTTTTCACTTGGGAAAGGACAAAACTTATTAATGTGTCCATAGATCGTTTTCAAGAGAGAACTCACTAAAAATAGTAAAATAGGTTGTTAATGCTTGTGAAGTCTGTCTTAAAAATAATCCCCTGAACAGACGGCTTCTTCCTCCTCAAACCCAAAGGATGGGAAGTTATCCAGGGGAGGACTGGCAGATAGACTTTACCCACATGCCAAAGATGAAGGGCATCCAATACCTCCTAGTATGGGTAGATACTTTTATTAACTGGGTAGAAGCATTTCCAAGCCATACAGAAAAGTCCCCTGAGGTAGTAAAGGTGTTAGTTAATGAAATTACTCCCCTCACTTAAGGCAGCTTTCACACAGGGGGCCTCAAGGGCACTAGACATACAATATCATCTCCATTGCACTCAGAGACCCCAGTCCTCAGGAAAGTTAGATAAGACAAATGATACCATCAAAAGACATCTCAGGACATTGTCCCATGAAACTCACCCTTCTTGGGTAACTTTTCTTCCCGTGGCTTTACTATGTATAAGAAAACACCCTTCAAAGTTAGGTCTAAGCCCTGTTGAGATGCTGTACAGATGGCCTTTTCTCACCAACAATTTCTCATTAGACTAAGAGACTTCTGAACTGGTTAAGCATGTAGACTCTCTGACTCGCTTTCAACAGGAATTAACACAACTAGCAGAAGCTCTATCCCAAGAAGTAGGACCACCTTTTATTTCACCCAGGAGGTTTGGTATTGATAAAATCTCTCCCTTCTCTTTCTCCTTCCCTAAGCCCAAGCTGGAAAGGGTCTTATGCCCTTCTCCTTTCAACCCCCTTGGCAGTAAAAGTTACAGGTATCTATTCCTGGATACATTACACTCAAGTCAAAACTTGGAAAGCTGAGAGAGCAACCTCTGGCAGCCCAGAGGAACGTCCTGGATACCAATGTGAAGGAATAGGAGACCTTAAGCTCAAAATCATAACAGATAAGTAAATGAGCAAGGGCCACTTGTCTTACTCAATTCCACCTCTATCATTCTACTTTTTCTACATTTTTATCATCTACTTTTTCTCTCAAGATTTGCCGTCAAATATCGGAGGTTCTTTTTGACTCATAATTGCAGGGTTAATAGTTACCAACAAGAAGGGAACATGAAAGGTTTACTATCACTGAGTCTTCTAGGACTTTTTATTGGGTTTAGTGATACATTACACCCTTTAGCTCCTACTATATCAGCCATGGCTCATTCGTACAATAAGACTAATTGCTGGGTCTGTCCCAAGTGGTTTGCTCAGTTTAATAACACCAAGGAACCTCCTGATGACCCAGAACTTACAGTCTTAGGATTTCCTTTGTTAGACTTACCCTTAATCCCAAAAGATTTATGAGGCATAAATGGGACATGGTATAGGAGCACTTTCACTGAATAACTAACTCCTCTCAGGAAAACACTCCACCCCTAGTGCCAAGGAACACTCTCTCCAAGTATAAGCTTCATATCCTCTGGCTGGGAAAAGTTGACTGGGTAGTGGCAAATGCCTCCCACTGCTTTAAAAGCAGTGGGGAAGAACCATACTTCAGCGATCTCAAATATTGTAACATCACACTTGTAATTGCTGATAGTTCTAAGATTGGAGGAAGAAGGTGCCATAAGGGTGATCTAAAAGGATCAGATACCCTGTGGGGGGCTTTCAGAGTCTAGCCGCTCCATCTGGTTGGAAGTTCCAATGAGAATGGCATGCTCTAAGTAACCACCTCGATTATAATGTAAAGAATAACGCATGGGCCTTTCCAAACATGTCCCCTCATGGAATTCCAGACCCTTGTATGATGTTTGCTAATAGTAATCGCATGCCAATTTTGGGGCAAACTGGAGACTTCTGGACCAACAGCCCTTGCCACAAAGATCATCTGAGACACTGGCCAGGGCATATTATGTTGTTAATTTTTTGAAACTCCGTTTGTCAGGTGGACCCTTCTAATTTTTCATGTAAGATTCCAAATGGCATATTGTGAATAACTGTTCTGAGTATGGATATCCCCATCCTAAAGATGCTCCTATTATACGTAAGGGGGAAAAGCTTCTAAGATATAAGAAAGGTCTGTCTGTGTCCTCACAGGTCGCAACTTAGAACCATCCATTCAGGGACAGGATTATATTTCCATTGTGGCTCTTAGCTACACTTAATCCTCGCTAGGCACTGGAAAGGAACCTATACTACAGTAGCAGTGGTCCCCAACCTATTACTTTTAAATTCCACTGACAAGGATGCATCACCTAGGGACAACCCAAATCTAGGTTCCTTTTTAGAAAATGCACTATCTCAGATACACGAAACAAAGAGATTTATCATTTCCATGCCATCATATGGAGATTTAACCAAAAGAGAAAACTGGGGAGGGCATGCACATGACAATCCCATCTTAGAAAGATCATGGATGGGAAATTCTATAATAAGAGGCCTCTTCAGGTTTGCTGGTATTTCTCTGAAAGGTCAGTACTTAATATATTCATTATGATGTACTGAGGATGGAAGGCAACAGTAGGATCCATAGAAGTACAACAACAATCCATAGACTCTTTAGCCTCAGTAGTAGCACAGAATAGATGAGCCCTGGATATTCTTACAGCCGAGGTAGGGGGTGCCTGCTCAGTCTTAAATGAAACATGCTGCTTCCAGATCAACACCTCCAGTCAAGTAGAAGAAAACCTACAGGTCCTTAAAGATCAAGTTAAAATCGTTAACAGGTTAAGAGAAAATGCAGACTCCAACCCTGGATGGCTACAATTCCTCTTTAATGAATTTCAGTCTTCTTTGTGGAACTGATTAGCTCCATTATTAAGTCCTCTCTTGCTCATATGTTTTATATTAATGTTTGAACCTTGTCTACTCAATATTGTAACTCAAATTGTTTCCTCTCACCTAGAAGCAATGAAACTTAAAATGGCGCTGCAGACTGAACCAGGCATGGACACACCATTTTTCTGAGGACCCTTGAATTGACCCCAAGAGGAGCCCTAGCTGCTGTTCCCTGCATGATGCCCATTTTCAGCAGGAAGTATCCAGAAAGAGTCATTGCCCAACAACCCCTAACAACAGTTACGGTGACCACTTCAGAGGGTGGAATGATATAGGACTTAAGAAGATAGTACGGGTATGAGAGTCCTGGGTAAGTCTTTTCTTTTTAATGAAAAGCAGTCCTAAATCATTTTCTAACAAAGAGCTGACTGTAAAGTCTAGCTACAGACATACACAAGCAAGCTGCAAGCTTGCACGGGTGAGTGTCAGCAGGAACTAAGGACTAGACATGTTCAAGATAGCAGATCCACCATCCCTTATTTGCCAGTCACCTGTACAGCAAGGGGCAGACAAGATGATGGTGGCCAAGGAGAATTCATTTGCATAATAAGATTAGGGTGGGGCAACCAGCTTTCCCTCGTGCTATGTAAACATCACATCAGATCGAACCAATGTGTGAGCTCTACATAAATCAGACAGCAACTCCTCAAGCTGAACTATAAAATCCAGTGCCTCTGTGGCCAGCCAGGCTTTTCCACTTAGAAGACCTCTCTCTCTAGAGAGAGAGCTGTTTTTCTTTCTCTTCTCTTCTGACTATTAAGCCTCCAGTCCTAAACTCCTCCCTGTCCTAAATTTTCCCAGCAAGAGATGACTAACCCCAGGGTATATATACCAGATGATGTAGCCATTTCAGGAGTAGGAGAATAATTTAAGAATTAAGTTTGAGAATTAATTCTGATAATGTGTGTAAAGCACTTAGCACAATACATAGAATACCACATAGAAACTAGGTATTAGTATTTTGTATAATAATCTTTCCCCAAATTATTATAGTATAATTATATTTTATGTCTTTATAGATTCCCTTACTTTTATTTTTACAGACAATTTATTTCTTATTCAACATCTTAAAATTGCTTAACTTAAAATGCTTCATATATTAACTTACTTTGCATTTTTGTCATTTAGATCAATCACTTCTACAATATATAATAATTTCCACCTTCCCAATAATTTCGTAATATGTACTATAGCTGTACATCTTCAGGTGAATTATTTCAGATTGATAAATTTCATCACTTTGATTAGCTGGCAGTCACCTTGACACTATGTCAGCTGCAAGCCTGGGACACTCAAACTGTTATTGAAGTGCTGTATTTGAGCTGGGATGACAAAGGGAGACAAAGAAATATAAGTTACTGGAAACTTGTGCTATTTGTTATCAAATAGATTAGGATTTATACAGAGCAGTTTCATTATGAACTATAAGAAAAATGCATTTAATTTTTTAATACTAAACGTACATCCTTATTAGGAAATTTCACCTGAAAGAGTTTCACAGAATGCATCTTAGAAAACAGAATTCATCATGAATCTTACTTCTATTTGTTAGTTCTGAGAACACAGTACAGTTGAGTACTCCCAAAGTAATGAAAACCAGTGCAGAACTAGTATTTCCAGATTCTGGCCTTATTTTAGCTGTCCATTGCTGTATAACAAATTAACTAAAAACTTAGCAGCTTAAAAGGACAATAACATTTATTGTCCCACACCGTTTCTGTAGGTCAGGAATCCAGAATTGGCTTTGTTGGGTGGTTCTGGTTCAGAATCTCTCATAAAGCTGCAGTCATCTCAAGGCATCAATGAGCCTGGGGGATTTATTTCCAAGCTGTCTTGCATTCCCAGCCAAGTTAGTGCTGGTTGTTGGCCAGCAGTAACTTGGCTGAGGATGTAATTTCCTTGCCATGAGAACTTAGCCACAGAGCTTGTTGAGTGTCCTCACCACATGGCAGTGACTTGCTCCAGATCAGTAATGTAATAGACAGCAAGGCACTGTGTTTCTACAGTCCTGCCTCAGGAATCATACTCTGCTTTTTCCACAATATTCTATTAATTACCTGGACCAGACTAGTCACTGTGAGAGGGAAGCACTAAATACCAGGATGCAAAAATCTTCGAGGCCTGTTTTAAAGGCTGGCTACCACATTACCCTTGAAAGGGCTATAGAGACCATGGGAATCAAATCAGGTGAATGGTTTAGCCCTAGTTGAAGCTCCTATCATGATGTAAATGTTCTCTGCCTCCATTTTTATTACAGTTAATGCCCAGAACTCACACGACCCTAGTTTCTTCAGGTTCTTCTTTTTTTTTTTTTTTAATATATATATATTCCTGGCCAGGAGCAAGTGGCTCATGCCTGTAATCTAGCATTTGAGGAGGCCAAAGCAGGTGGATTATTTGAGATCAGGAGTTTGAGACCAGCCTGACCAACATGGTGAAACCCTGTCTCTACTAAAAATACAAAAATTAGCTGGGTGTGGTGGCGGGCACCTGTAACCCCAGCTACTTGGGGGCTGAGTCAGGAGAATCGCTTGAACCCGGGAGGTGGAGGTTGCCGTGAGACGAGATAGTGCCACTGCCCTCCAGCCTGGGTGACAGAGTGAGACTCCACCTCAAAAAAATAAAATTAAATTAAATTTTTAAAAATCCAATTACTATGCTTATAGATTGTGAAAATGTCAAATGGGTAGATATGTGACTTATTTCTCTTAAAAAAGAAAATATAAATAATGTAGAAAGAAGAAAATACAAATAATGTAGTACAAATGAGTTTCAGTTACTGCTGTACAAATTATTAATTGTGTTGATTTTAGGCAAGGAGTTCTCATCTCTAAAGTGAGCATGATGAGGACAATAATGATAGAAAAAAACATAGTGTTATTATAAAAATTAAATATAAATACATTTGAGAAGTCACTCTAAAACTGTAGTGCATTGTGAATATTGTCAAATCAAAGTGATGTCTGATAAGTGGTGGCTTACATACACCACCTTATCCTGAGTCAAGTTCTAGCTGCATGAATAAAAATGGCAAACAACTACTACTGCTACTATGATAACTAATATCAAATTTGAAGAAAATAAAGAGAGTAAAGCAAAAGAAATCCATTAGACTGTCCTGGGGCAAAGTTCCACAAATCAGTATGGAAGCTGGTGAATAAATGTTGCACCTCCTACCATTAAGGTGAGCAATTCTGGGAGGCCTTTTGTATGCTTCTCAGCAGGTCAATGGAATTGAGACTCTGTTGCCATAGCAGTGACCTCAACCATACATTTTTATATTAGCTTTTTTCCTTTCCTTATGCTTCGTGGCTATGTACAAGCCACCTTTCCCCTAGTAGTTAAAATTAAGATAGCTATGTAGCATAACTGTATTGAGAATAGGAATGCTGCTTGTGGAACACAGATGACAAAATAGCAAGCTAAGTGGTTGAAGAGGCAGGAGTGTGGCAGTGGGAGCAGTCCACCAGGGTATGCAACAATGAGAGAGTACAAAACAATAACAAAACTAACAACATATCAGAATGCTTTCCAAGAATACCATGTACCAGCAGTTTTACGTAATGTCAGTGACAAAATCCTCTTTCCCGCCAGGTTAGGCCGATCTTGCCACCAGTCTTCTCATCCTTGTTCCTCTGGATGGTGAAGTTACTTTTCAAGTCCAATCACAGTCTGTAAGTTTGATATGTCATATTGATAATTTGAGCATTTAAATGTGGATGGGGTGTGGGGTATGTAGCTGTGCCAGGCTCAGTTTTAACATGAGCAGTTTGATTGACTTTTAACAATAAATTGTCTTTTTTTTTATGTTAAGCATGCTCGAGGTACTTTTTGTTGTCCCATACAGAACAGCTTGGAGTGAGAGAGAAACAGGTCCTTGGGTGCCACAAAGTTCCTAAATATTCCTTTAAAGTTTTAGGTACAATGGTGAATAATACCTAAGTCAATGCATTTATATCCAAGAATACAATTGACTTGTTCTAACATATACCACAAAGCTCTAGTCAATAAGATGGAATCGTGGCGCTATTCTTTGGGGATCTAGAGTTTCAGTGTACATTATCAATTTTGTTGTCCAAATAAAATTAGTAATATTATATACGTTCTATTGTCTTCACTTTTCTATTTTACCCTAATTCATTATGTCTTTGAGGGAAATCAATAGCTTATACTTATGTTTTTCATACAGAATCATTTCCTAGATATTTAGTAGTTTTAAATGGACATTGACGTACAGTCTTTTCAATATCCATTATTTGATAAACATGAAAGCAACAAAGGGTTTGCCAATTTATTCCCAAATGTAATTAATCATTGACCTCAACACATTGTCTCCTGGGAAAGTACAATATGACTAATTAGTGCTTTTTCTCCTCTGTGCCAATGAAATAGAAAAAGAATATATATGAACTGATTACATAAAATGTGTTTTCACAACTCTTCTTGTCATGGCAGTCATGACTAAGTTTGATCAATTATTTTCCTATTCCTAAGTTGAAAATCTCATTGTCAAAACATTAAGATGTATTTATTATAACATATATTAAGTTCGCAAAACAATGTGCTGGGTTAGTTCCTAACCAGTAGTGATTTCTTTTTAGATTTAATATGTCCTAGACCTTGTTAGCCTTATAATAATTTACTTATTTTCTTTAAGGTAAATTTTTGCCATTAGTATAACAAATATGAAACCAAATATTTTAATTTGTGGTTATATATGCCATCTCTGAGAATCAGACTTATTAGCCATCTAGATAACCTTTTACTTAGTGAAATCTTTGAAAATGAAGACTATAAAATGCCTTGTAATGAAGGAATAACTTATCAACTGTAATTATTTTAATAGCTATGTGCATTGGGGTTGTCTATGGTGTGAGGAGGCAGCCTTGGGTATAGCTTAGTGAGGTTTATAGAGTGGGACAGAAGAATTATTTTATAACATCATTGGAAACAATTTAGGGGAATAAAATTTGAGAGTATATCAAAATACATATTAAAATGACAACTTGTAACTCCAAAATTAAACTGTTATTGGTATCCGTCATTGAAAAATGCAGAACAAGCTATGAAAACCTGTTGAATGTTTGCACAGAGGCCACATTTGGAGGTAGTACCTCACACTGTGTAAGTAGTTGCACACTCTAGGCCAGAGTGTCTGTTTGGAAAGCAGAGATATAAACTCCTTGACACAGATTAGAATGGAATATTTTGAGGACTCACTATCATGAATTACTATTCAACTGCCTAGTTGTTCCTGGATTCAACGTAGTGTAGGTATCAAAATTCCAAAGTGGGATGGGCGCGGTGGCTCAAGCCTGTAATCCCAGCACTTTGGGAGGCCGAGACGGGTGGATCACCAGGTCAGGAGATCGAGACCATCCTGGCTAACATGGTGAAACCCCGTCTCTACTAAAAATACAAAAAACTAGCCGGGCGAGGTGGCGGGCGCCTGTAGTCCCAGCTACTCCGGAGCCTGAGGCAGGAGAATGGTGTAAACCCGGGAGGCGGAGCTTGCAGTGAGCTGAGATCCGGCCACTGCACTCCAGCCTGGGTGACAGAGCGAGACTCCGTCTCAAAAAAAAAAAAAAAAAAAAAAAAAAAATTCCAAAGTGGGAGTTAAGAAGTGAGTGCCTTGAGTTTAACGTAAACACCCATGTGACCATCTGTGGGTTCCTAGATCCTTACTAGTAAATAGATGGCCTATGTGCTGTTACCCTCACTCCTACTGATATGGTTTGGCTCTCTGTCCTCGCCAAAATTTCCTGTTGAATTGTGATCCCCAGTGTTGGAGACAGGGCCTGGTGGGAGGTGTTTTAATCATGGGGGTGGTTTCTAATGGTTTAGCATCATCCCCTACTACTGTCTTGTGATAGAGTTCTCAGGAGATCTGGTTGTTTGGAAGTGTGTAGCACCTCCCCCTTCACTCTCTCTTCCTCCTCCTTCTGCCATGTAAGATGTGCTGGCTTCCTTTTCCCCTCCGGCCGTGATTGTAAGTTTCCTGAGGCCTCCCCAGAAGCAGAAGCCTGTACAGACTGCAGAACTGTGAGTAAATTAAATCTCTTTTTAAATTTTTTATAAATTACCCTGTCTCAGGTATCTCTTTATAGCAGTATGAGAACAGACTAATAAACCTACCAAACATGAGCTTTTCCCATAGTATATCTCTTTACTGATCCTGTATGGGGCTCCAGGATTCTTTCCAACACAGAGAATCAAGAAGCTAATCTCCAGGAACTGGCATAAATCTTACTTATTACGCTCTCAAAAAGGTAATCTTCACTATCTGTTTTATTTCTGATATTTTTAGAGTGTTTAACTATTGTTCCAGGGATGAGTGAGGGGCCTAATTTTTCCCATGAATTAGACAGAATCCCATTGAATAGGCTAGGTGACAATCATCAGCAACCAGAGGTGGTTGATATCATGCTTATGCACCCCTTTAATATCTACTGTTGTGTTTCTCTGCCCTCTAGTTCAAAGTATTTTTCCTCTTTTGTGCACATATATACCAGCAGGAGCTCTAATGCAAATTCTTTTTTAATCTGCCTCCTGTTACACGCTGATTGTAGGCTTATTGGTTTATTTGTATTTTGGTTTCCTTTTAAATTGCATCCTTCAATACAAAACTGTGAGCATAGTGACTCGAGAAACAATATAAATGAATTTTTGAAGCATGGAGTAAAAATCTTCATCAGAACAATGGTGGTGTTTTAGTTATTTATTTGGGATCTCCCAGCATATAAAGATAGCATTTACTCCACTTCTTGAGAACCGAAGGACTGGAAAAGAGGTGACTTCTGTTGAAAATCCTTCTCTCCAATACTTTCTGTATAAGTAAGAGAACTATCATATTTACATACTCTGTTCATTAAAATGTATTGACTTTAAATTTTCAAGGAAATTTGCATTTCTTCTGACTTCCTTTTGGAACCTAAGATCATCCTCTTCCATCTAAATTTAAGAAATATTTATTGAGCACCTAATATGTGTCTTAATTATTCACATCACCCACTCCCACAGTAAGGGATATCATGATGATTGAATCTGTATTTCTGGCTTCCCAAGTCTCACAACTTTAGAAGGAAGTGATACACAGAATCAAGGTATATGAAGAAAAATTCCAAAGTAGGGGCACAAAAACTGCAGAAAGTGAACTGGGGAAGGAGAAATTAATTCAACCTGTGGTATAATACAACTTAGAAACTGTCATGGGAGACATAACACTTACCATAGTCTTAAAAGATGAGGATACTGTTTTATGGCTAAGTTTTAAGAGCTTTTAATGTTCCTTGAAAGTGGAGTGCAGGGCATAAACAAAACCAAAAGAGATGTTTTTCGGAGAATGACATGTGAGTTAATAAAGTTAAATATTGCATTGAACTGGAGAAATGAAAGAAAGGTATGGATTAGGAAGGTTAGGTAAACAGGCTAGGACCAGGCAGTGAAGGAAACTGTCAGTCTGAAGAGGAAGAAGCATTTCTTTTTAATGAGATGGTGAATCCTGGTTTTTCATTTTGTGTTTAAAAAAGATTTAGTTGCTATAAAGATCTAACAAAATTTTTCTTAGGAATAATACTCCAATTCTTACATTTGATCAAACGAAGCTATTCTACATTCATGTTTCTAGCCAAAGTAGGCTTCTTTGAAAGCAATCAGGATTCTTATGGTTTAATAAATGGTTTTAATAACCAACTGCTAATCTGGAGGATAGAAGCTTGAATATTTAAATTGACCACTTGTTTGTGATACACACTATTTTTCTCTCTCTCCCTCATACACACACACAGAAAAACACATATTGGGTAGGCAGGACAATGGCTCCTCAAAATGTCCTCATCTTAATTAATTACCAGGAACTGTGAAGATGTCACCTTACATGGCAAAGGGGACTTTGCAGGTGTGATTAGATTAAGGATCCTGAGGAGATTATCCTGCATTATCCAGGTGGACCCAACATAATGTCAACGGTGCATGGAAAGATGGAAAAGGCAGGGACAAGATCAGAGACAGAGCTTTGAAGTCGTTACACTGCTGTCTCTGAAGATGGAGAAAGGCGTATTCTGCCAAGAAATGCAGGAATCTCTGGAAACCTATTCTTTCCTGGAACCTCAGAAAGTATGCAGCCGGCCAACACCTTGATTTAATTTAATTTAATAATTTTGTGAAGGAATCTGACCTATTTATCTGTTACTCAAAAAAACTTGCTTTTGACTAGACTCAGACAAGTAGAAGCTCACAGAGAGGACAGTCTGTTCCTGGCGGGTTTTTGTTTTGCTTTGGTTTTGTTTTTGTTTTTAGCCTCTTTCATTTACTTGACCAAAAGTTTAGCATATTCTACAACCTCTTCCTTACTTTTCTTAGTAAGCTGTTCCTTCAGAGAAATATGCCAGCATTTATGCTTCAGGACATCTAGTAAAAATCTCGGGTGCTTTGGCTCCAGGTTTCTTACCTTCTTTTTTCTAAGGGCTTTTTAAATTTATTTTTATTTTTACAACATATTGGCAGACATCATCTTTTTCAGACAGACTGAAAAGTTTTCAGACTCTTCTAGCTCTTTTGGGCCTCAGGCAATGAGGCACTGTAGTATCAGTCAGTCCAGGAATATCCTTCCCTCTCTTTCTCTTTTTTTTTTTTTTTATAAAGATGATGTTAAGAATGCTCAGATTGGCATCCATAATGCAACCATACACAGATTTGCATTTTCTTTCTTCAGCTCTCTTTGGTCTAAAACAGGAATACCCCTTAGTCACAGGCAGATATGGCCACAGGTCAGGATACCCGGCTTCATGGGGAAATCTTGTTTGTCGTTCCCACCACCGATTTGGACAACATAACCCTTTCATTCTTTATCCAGCGCATCAGCAGCAACGCCTGTGGCCATATACTTCTAAGAAAACCCATGAAGTTTATGTTCATAGTCAACAAATTTCTGGCAACCAGTGGCTGGGAAGAAGATATTCAGCTTCATCTTGAAGCAGCATCTTGATTTTAGCCCATGTGACCCATTTTGTACTTCTGATCTTCAGAACTATAAAATAATGTATTTATATTGTTTTTTTAAATTTATTTATTATTATTATACTTTAAGTTGTAGAGTACATGTGCATAACGTGCAGGTTTGTTACATATGTATACTTGTGCCATGTTGGTGTGCTGCACCCATCAACTCGTCATTTACATCAGGTATAACTCCCAATGCAATCCCTCCCCCTTCCCCCCTCCCCATGATAGGCCCCAGTGTGTGATGTTTTTAAGCCACTAAATTGTGATAATTTATTCACAACAGTACTGGGAAATTAATACAGGTAACTATTTTACACTCAAGTACTCACATAGGCAAAACTCTGTGTTTTTGTTTTTGTTTTTGTTTTGACAGAGTCTCACTCTGCTGCTCAGGCTGGAGTGCAGTGGTGCGATCTTGGCTCACTACAACCTCCACCTCCCAGATTCAAGTGATTCTCCTGCCTCAGCCTCCTGAGTATCTGGGATTACAGGCTCTTGCCACTATGCAGCTACTTTTTGTATTTTTAGTAGAGAAGGGGTTTCATCATGTTGGCCAGTCTTGTCTTGAACTCCTACCTCAGGTGATCTGCCCATCTCAGCCTCCCAAAGTGCTGAGATTACAGGTAACTTTATTTTTTATTGATCAGTCTAATTTCTGATTCAAAGTTCTTAATCAGTCACATAAAGTAAACATAAGCTAGTCCTTTTTCAGGTAAGTGTAGTGAAATTCTGTAACTTTCCATGCATTTAAATTTGTTCTCCTGCCCACTGCAAGCCACTAGCTCTGATGTTCACCTAAGATGTGAAAGGGTCTTTAAGAAATATCACTAAGCATTGGCAAAGAGTACATGAGTGACCTTGTTTCTACTGGACTGCACAGAGATATAGAACAATCAACTGATGGGATTTTAATTATTTTGGTCTTTAGCTTCTAACCCTGCTACATCTACAGAGGTGTCAGGTCTCCTGCCTGACCTTGGGACATCGTGCCAGGAGATAGCTCAGGTATTCCTTCCTCATTTTGATCTCTAGTCTCCATTGGTTGTGCTGGCCTATGCACAGCCTTTCTTCAGGCCTTCGATCCTTTTTGAAAGGCAAAGAAATGTTTAGTTGTTCTCTTGTTCATTATATTGGCCATGGGAGACCTGGGGCTGTTGGCGAGCATTGACTCTGCCCCTAACATTCCTACTCTATCTCTGTTCTATCACTATTAAGGCTAGAGGAACACCAGCAAGTTTGTTACCCAGTTCAGAGAGGACAGAAGAAGTCCTCCTAAAATAACAAGATGGCAGAGAGAAGAGGTAGGCCAACTTCCTTACTGGACTCCTTACTCCCCAATTCTCTTTTCGCTCCTCAGATCATATGGGCTTTATCAAATGGGCAAGATACAAGGGGAAGTACTAGAGAAGAACCAGGAAACAACTTATTCTCCAAATAGTTCCACTTTTAATTTTTTTCAGTCTTGTTCTTAGACCTTACCTGTTGAGCTGAAAAGCTAAGAATCTGTACCTTGGTCTAACATGATAACTAACTCCAGGACAAATGGAGGTTCCAAGGTTTAAATTATGAAGAGGTGAGTCCAGGGCTAAAATTAATGAAAAGCTCTCTCAGAAAAAAAGAGAGAGAGAGAGAGAACATTTCATATTATTTTTCCACATATAAAGGAAGAAACTGAGGCCCAGGGAGATGAATAAAATGGAGTTTGTAGAGTAGGAGTCAAACTCGTAGCTCTCTGAATTCAATCCCCAAGTTTTTCAGAAGATATGCTGCCTCCTCAGTAAATTATTAAAATCATTATTCAGCCTCAGTTTCTTCATCTCCAAAGGAAAAAGCTTGAACTGATGAATTCTAAGGCCCATTATAGCTCTAAATGTGTCCTTTAGTTTGAAAATATTCAGCACTATCTAGGTGAGAGAAAAGAAATATGTGTGTCCTTACCGTCAGGTGGACTCACAGGCCTTCCCTTAAGAAAGAGTATAAATAGGGATCCTGCACT